TTTTTTTTTTTTTTTTTTTTATCTTTATCTTTGAATTATTCAAAGTCAAAAACAATAATCTTAAATAAAGAAATTTAAAAAAAAAAATCTATTTTAAAAATATTTTTGAAATTTGTTAATGTTTCTAAAAAAAAAAACCTTAAAATTAATTAAAAAATACTGGTAGTATTATATTTTGAAATGTTAAAAGTAAAAGTATCCCCTTTTACTCTTGGTAAAAAAAAAATTCATACCGTCTATATATAGACAAACTATATATTGACCTCTCATAAATTATTTCAAAATATTTTTAATATATTGTTAAAAGATCGGTGAAAAATTTAAAATTTTTAAAAATTAATTGAACGTTTAAGTTTAACCGTATATATATATATATATAGAAATTAAATTTATAATTTAACCTAAGTTAGCTTCAAAATCAAGTAGAAAACAAAGTTGATAATAATAATAATTAAAAAAAATTAAGAATAATAATGTTATGTAATGTGTGGCTCAAAATTAAGAAAAAAAAAAAAGAGAGAATGGTTGACACTCAAAACGGGAACATTATCACATTATCTTTGTTATATCTGTCTCAGCCTCAAGTTTCTTTCTTTATTATTATTATTATTATTTTTCTGTTTTTAAAAAATAATGAAAAAAAAAAAAATTATGTAACCTCTCAAGCACGCAAGCCCACTATTAGTAGATATTATCCACTTTGACCCGTTAAATATTGTCGTCCGCCTCAATTTTAAAATGCGTCTATTATGGAGAGAGTCTAGTCCTATTCCAATCCGTGCTTTGCACCATCTAATGACAGACTTTAATAGCATTTATAATAGTCCAAATCCATCGCTAATGGATAATAGATATTATCCATTAGGGAGAAGTTTTTACTGTTTTGTAAGGAAGGGAAAAAAGGGGGTGGAATTATAGGATGTTTGGAGGCCATATAAAGGTCTGAAACGGATAAGAGATATAATTGAAGTGAAGAAGCAAAGGCAGCCATGCAAATAATGAAAGGAACATATTTGGTGTGGGTGACGCCTAAGTGGAGCTCCCATCTTCCATTCTCTCTTATAACACACAAATTCCCACCTCTCTGCTCTTCTTTGTCATTTCCCACTTTCTCTCTGCTCCAACTTTCACGGAAATCATTCATTCTATTTCTCTCTCAAGGTTGCCTCTCTTTCTCTCTCTCTTTCTCTTTGTTCATCTTCATTTCATTTTGCTCTCTATTGCCTTAGATTGTTCATTTTCTGGGTTTTCTGGTTCTGTTTCTTTGTTTATTTATGTACTCATCCTTCATTTTGGGGATTTGGGGTTTTGGGTATTGTTCTCCTCTTTCTTTTCTATTCATTTGAACAAAACTTGTGTAAAATGCACTGTTGGATTGGCATATTGTGTTGGGGTTTTGAAAGTTTAGAAGTTATTTTAAAGCATAGGATTGGATAGATACTAATTTTGAAAGTTGGGATCTGATTCTTTAGCATGTTTAGACTTGAGTGACACTTTATTTCTTCGGAAGTGTATTGGATTAAACTTGTGATGTGATGTTGCGTTTACTTGTTGAAAAGTTCATAACCCACCTTCAATAGCTCAGTGAAAGAGAGCATCAATTTTTGGTTCCTTGTTTGTGTAACGTTCAAGCCCACCATTCGTAGATATTATCTTTTTTGGGCTTTTCCCTTCGCCCAAGCCTACCGCTAGTTGATATTGTCTTCTTTAGGCTTTTCCTTTCAAGCTTCCTTGGTTTTTAAAAGGCGTTTGCTAGAGAGAAGTTTCCACACCCCTATAAAGGGTATTTCGTTCTTCCTAACCGATTTAGAATCTCACAATCCAACTCCCTTTGAGGCCTAGTGTCCTCGCTGCACTCATTCCTTTCTCCAATCAATGTAGGCCCCCACCAAATCAACTCCCTTCGAAGCCCAACGTCCTTGCTGGCACATCGCCTCATATCCACCTCCCTTCAAGGCTCAGTCTCTTCGTTAGCACATCGCCTAGTGTCTAGCTCAGATATCATTTGTAACGGCCCAAACCCACCGCTAACAGATATTGTCTTTTTTGGGCTTTCCCTCTAGGTTTTTAAAACGTGTCTGCCAGAGAGAGGTTTCCACACTCTTATAAAAATGTTTCGTTTCCCTATCCATAACAACAATGAGTATTATGTAAGAAGGCAACACATCAACTAAAATCCATAAATTACAAATTTAGTTTTTGAGTTTTGAAGTTATGTTTTTAGACATGGAACGTTTTGAATATGTGATTTTAATTTTGGAGACAATTTGTAATTTAAAATGACAATCCATTTCCAACTCTCGAAAGAGTAACTTCTCTACTATTCTGTAGCTGATAAGGGAGAGAACTTTGAGAAGGAAAAATGGATTATGTTTACGCACCTGGAAAAAACCATCTCTTTGTCCCGGGACCGGTGAACATACCCGAACCCGTTCTGCGGGCAATGAATCGAAACAATGAGGATTATCGTTCTCCTGCTATTCCTGCAATGACAAAAACTCTTCTTGAAGATGTGAAAAAGATTTTCAAATCAACTGCTGGAACCACGTTTCTGATTCCCACTACAGGTAACTTACCTTCCCTTTCAAAACACTTACCAGAACAACAACGACAACAACCTTCTATGTTGATCTTCATGTTTATGACTCAGGTACTGGTGCTTGGGAAAGCGCTCTTACGAACACGCTTTCTCCTGGAGATAGGATTGTGTCCTTTCTGATTGGCCAGTTCAGCCTGCTCTGGATTGATCAGCAGCAGCGCCTCAACTTCAACGTTGATGTCGTGGAGAGTGATTGGGGCCAGGGTGCCAATCTTGATGTCCTGGAATCCAAGCTTGCATCTGATGGTGCGCACACAATCAAGGCAATTTGCATTGTCCACAACGAGACAGCCACTGGTGTCACCAATGACTTGTCAAAAGTTCGATTCCTACTCGGTAAGCAAGGAAGGAATGAAGAAAAAAGATCACGTTTTAAGAAAGTCATATAAAAACATGAAAATTTAAAGCTTCTCACTGCCTTATGATCTGTAATCTTCTACTGAAAAACACAGATAAGTACAAGCATCCAGCTCTTTTACTAGTCGACGGAGTGTCGTCGATATGTGCACTTGATTTTCGGATGGATGAATGGGGAGTCGACGTTGCTTTAACTGGTTCCCAGAAGGCTCTTTCTCTCCCTACAGGAATTGGAATTATATGTGCCAGCCCCAAAGCACTAGAGGCATCCAAAACTTCAAAATCAGTCAAGGTATTCTTCGACTGGAAAGACTACCTCAAGTTCTACAAACTAGGAACATACTGGCCATACACTCCTTCCATTCAGCTCTTGTATGGACTAAGAGCAGCTCTGGATCTACTTTTTGAGGAAGGTCTCGACAATGTGATCGCTCGACACAGCCGTCTCGGCAAAGCAACAAGGTAAGGATACCAAAAGTGAGTTACCAGAAACTTCATTGCTCTGAGTTCTGAAATTGAATGCAGGCTTGCTGTGGAGGCTTGGGGGTTGAAGAACTGTACACAAAAAGAGGAATGGTTCAGTGACACTGTGACGGCTGTGCTTGTTCCTTCTTACATTGATAGCTCAGAAATTGTGAGAAGGGCATGGAAAAGATACAATTTGAGCTTGGGACTTGGCCTAAACAAAGTTGCTGGCAAAGTTTTCAGAATTGGCCACCTTGGAAACCTTAATGAGGTAAACTAGTTTACTAGCCTGCCCTTTGTCGAACTCGTTTTCGACGTTTTTGAGAAGTTCATGGCAACAAAACGAATTGATCCATTGAGAAGATTTGTTGAGTTTTAACCATATTTCATCGGGTTCTTATTATTTTCAGTTGCAACTGTTGGGATGTCTTGCTGGGGTGGAGATGATACTGAAGGATGTAGGGTACCCTGTTAAACTAGGGAGTGGAGTTGCTGCAGCTAGTGCATACTTGCAGAATAACATCCCTCTCATTCCTTCAAGGATTTAATGTATCAGCCATGCTCATGTAATTAATTTCCATTCTCTTCACCTCCATCTCAATATGCTACTTCCGGTTATACATTTCAATAATTTTTACTCTGCTATTTCTTTGATTACCTTGACAACTTACTACTAGATCTTCCCTTTATTGTGGAAAATTTAAGAGTTTCTTTAAATGTTTAAAAGAGTTTAAATGTAACCGCCTATGTCTACTCCTCTGGCAGATATTTCTTCTTTGAACTTTTCCTTTCGAGCTTCCCCTCAAGGTTTTCAAAAATGCATCTGCTAGAGAGAGGTTTCCACACCCTTATAAAAAATGACGTGGGATCTCACAATCTACCCCCCTTCAGGACTCAGCATCCTCGTTGACACTCATTCCCTTCTCCAATCGATGTCCCTCAATCCACCCCCTTCGAAGCCCCTAGTGTCCTTGCCAGCACACTGCCTCATGTCCATGTCGGTTGGGGAGGAGACCGAAGCATTCTTTATATGGGTGTGCAGACCTCTCCCTAACAGCACGTTTTAAAAACCTTGAGGGAAAGCCCAAAACAGAAAGCCCAAAGAGAACAATATCTACTAGTGGGTGGGTTGGGCCACTACAAATGGTATCAAAGCCAGATACTGAGTGATGTGCTAGCGAGGAGGCTGAGCCCCGAAGGGGGTGGACACGAGGCGGTGTACCAATAAGGACGCTGGCCCCGAAGGAGGGTGGACTGAGGGGTCCTACATCGATTGGAGAAGGGAATGAGCGTCAGCGAGGACGCTGGGCCTTGAAGGGAGGGTGGATTGTTTGATCCCACATTGGTTGGGAAAGATAATGAAACATTCTTTATATCCCACTCCAATTCTTTATATCCCACTCTAATCCTGGTTTGGTAGCTCTCTCCTCGTGCACGACGCTTGTGCATTTTTTGTCTGTCTATCCTTGGCTCTCCACTTTTCCTATCACTTGTTTTCTTGTTTTACTTTTTCAGTTCTGAACTCATAGACAGATTTGAAACATACAAAATCTATTTTGAATTTGTCACTAAACTTTTATATTACATTTAGGGAAGTGTGTGAGAGAGAGAAGCAAATTTCAAGTGAATAATTTACAGTAAATGGAGGAGAGAGAGAGAGATACGTGGGGGAACCAAATCACTGTGTTGCAGCTCTGAATAGTTCACTCCACTTCTGAGGATCATTCCCTGGACCTTCCCCCTGCAAAAGTTTCAAACCTTTATTACTTTCTCAAAAGAGAGATAGAGAACTCTAACAAGAATCGACTAGTTGTTTCTATTTTTTGTTTTCAAAACTATTTTTAACAATTATCAGATGATTTGTAAAGCAATACAAATGAACAGTCTTATTTGTTCTAAAAATTATTTATGAAAATACAATAAAGGGAAGAACCAAGAGAAATGGCTTTTTAGAAATAATTATTCAACCATGTTTTAAATTTGTTCATAAACAGTTCTCAAAGAAGCTTTTATTCTCATAAAACTACAGCTATCTTGGAAGCTCACCTCAACAGAGTTAATTTCGTATGCCTGTCCTTCAGTGAAATCAATGTCCAGAGCCTGTATGCAAGCTTCAGCAACCACAATCCTGCTGGCCTCTCCAACAAGTTTGTCACCTGAGACCCATGAGGGAGAGAAAACGACAACATAATTTCAATGTGGACTCGAATATGTTCACTAACAAGAAAGGAATGAGAATACAATGACAAAAATGGAAATATACTAATTGAAAATTGTATTAACATGTGTATATGATCGTAAATTTTTCGTACCTGGCTACTCACTTTAAAACTTCTTTTTCTTAATATTTGGTCCCGTTTTAAAAACAATATCGTTCTTCATTTTCTGTTTTTGATTTAGGCTTGTTTTCTACCAATTCCTTTACTACAATTTTTACCTTTTTTTTTGAAAAAAAAAACGTTTAAATTCTTTATCATCTTTCAAAAACAGATGCATGTTTTTAAACACTAGTCGAAATAATGTTTATAAGTTTAGTTTTCAAAAATAAAAAACCAAATAATAATCAATCACATTGCAAGTGATTAGACTTAATGGAAAAGTATAGAAACAAGGCCATAGGATTAATCACTGGTAAAAAAAAATTAAGGATAACGAAACTAACGGGTTCTCATACACCACATTCTATAGTGGTAATGCAACATTTGTCATTTTTACAAATTCTATAAAGTCGTACCTTGACCAAGGAGGACAGCACGCCGTTGCCCTGCTGTAGCTTTGAGCAAAGTATTAAGATCATATGAGGTGTATGGTCCATCAGTCAACCTACCAGCTCTGGAACACACATTTTTGTACATAAAAGAGAGAGTGGGTGCTCAATGTTGAAAAACAGAGTTACATGTCTAGAGTAAACAAGTTAGCTCAGGGAAAATAAGAAGCTCATGCCAACTACACATACCTGATTATTGTAAAGGGAAGACCTGAGTCACGAAGAAAATCCTCCCCTTGCCTTTTGTATTTGAGAACACCAAAAAGGTTCATAATGCTAGGAAAAAATGAAACCAATTAGTGGACTGAAAGCATAGTTTGTAAAGGAGTCAAAGAAACAAATGCAGTCACAGACTCGTCTGCTTCCTATACCAAGTTGTAAACACAATAACAATAAAAGGTAAATGTGTGTATTCAAGCATCGTGCTGATTGCTGAGAAATATAAATAATAAACCATCGAAGTTATTGCTGCATGATTATCAGTCTGATTATCCTTTTGGTATTTAGACGCAGTATATATTTACTGTTTAGTATTAGGAGCAATGAGGTGATACAGATACGCAACATAAAATTGATACTTGTCAGCAGATGTCAATATAGTTGAACATTCTGAAGAAGCAAACACCCGTTTGACGAACTGGAGAACACATCCTTAGAGTCTATGATTACAAGAGATGAAAAATTTTAGTGGGTCTGATCTCTCCAAATAGTGCAGGTTATGCATTTTAGAAGTACCACTTTTAGGATGGACTCTAATAAACCAATCTTTATTATTTCCTAGAAGAATTATTCTCGACAGTGAAATGACCTACCTCCATGGCAATTCATTGAATTTGGTTACGCCTATTGATGAAACAAGAACTACTCTTTTTACTGATCGAGGAAGCGCTGATATAAGGTTTCTCACACCCTCCCAATCTACAGTCATAAGTTCATAGTCAGAAAGTGCCGAGAAGCATAGGTATAATTGTAGGTGTGTTAGTGTACTTGCGAGTATTAGAAGATATGCAACTATAAATCTAGAGAATGGAAACAAAAACATTGTCCGATGTTTATATTGATTTCAACAAAGATCTATAAGTCTAAGTTTCTAGCCAAAACGCCAAGATGTAGCATCTGATATCAACAGTATAATCCTAACCTACTCGTTCAGGAGTGTTATCCCCATCCCATCGCTTTGAAGGGAAGGCTGTTGTTCCTGTGCAGCAAATCACATGCGTGACACCCTAACAGATGATTATCAAACCAATAAAAAAAGACATTAAATTTATAAACAATTGATACTACCAAAAGTGTTCAGTAATAATATTTTAAAATAAGAAAGAACAATAAAAATCATATCTATCAATAGAGTTCTATGAAGAGAGAGACAAAAAAAAACTCAAATCAACAATTACAATCCAAAACGGGGACTACTTAATCTATTCCAATATAATTCAAAAAGGAATCTGAAAAAATATATCTACATATAAATCTGTAAGTTCCCAAAAGTGCGAAAAAAAAAAGTAAAGTCTGCGGTAATAATAGACAAGGGATCCAACTGTTAAGTCCAAGATCATAGCCCAACGCTAGCCTTCTTGAGAATGCGAGAACAACGCCAATAGTATGGTTTATTATTCAAGGTTCATATTTATTTCAATCTAATTTATATTGTAATTTTTGGTTTCTAGCTTGTTCTTATTATAATAACAATAACCATAATCATTAATATTTTAACTTTAGGTTCACAATTATTTCAATCTAATTTATATTGTAATTTTTGGCTTCTACCTTGATCTTATTATAATAACAATAACAATAATTATTAAAATTTTAACTTTTAGTTTTCCATCATTCTCTATTTCAAAATTTGCATATAAAGAGCCATGGAAGCTTCACCTATCCCCACAATGGAATGACATTGGCCACTTTGAGTATGAACGCTCGTAGCTTTACTTTTGGTTTCCCCACAAAAACCATATACCAATGAAAATAATTGTCCTCAGTTATATACCTATGATCAATCTCTTCCTAGTGAATGTGGGACTATCTTTGCACTCCTAACATGATACTTCCCTCTCTTTCCCTCGGTTTTGTATCTCCAGAGACAGGAGGAAAGAGCCATTTTTCACTATTCATGAGGAACAAGAGTTCATCCCATGCCAAAAGTCTGATTCCCTCATGAGCTAGGGAGAAGAGAACAAACAGTACAATTTCAAGCAAGGTTAGTGTCAAAATGAAAAGATTGAAAGTGGCTAAAAGCTGATAATTATAGGCAGTGCAGCCGTGCCAAAGGTGTGCCCGAGAAGAATCAAATGAGCTCAGGAGTTTTTCTACAATTAAAGCATTGTTAAGGAATTTGATACAGATACAAAATGGTAAGGTAATGTAATGTAATCTAATCAAGGTCACAAACCTCAAATATAGATGGATCTAGGTCTTCTGGGTTCCTTGTATCACCTTTGCGTACCTGTCAAATTTAAAACTCTCTGTAACAACAAAGAGTACTTGAGAGTATGGTGAAACTTTTAAAAATCAACATATTTTCCAGACCGCATAGGGCAATGAATAAGAAGTTGCATCAAACATTCTAACTTGTTCCTAATCACATCAATGGAAATAGAAATTGAAGCCAATCGATTGAAGTGACACAATAGCCTTTTAGATCCCAAGCCCTCTCTCTATATGCTATACTCAACTGAGCAAAATGGGACACGAAACCATTATCTTCCGTGCCATGTGTTGGATGATGAAAGTCCCACATCGGTTAATTTAGGGAATGGTCATGGATTTATAATCTAAGAATACACTCATCATTGGTATGGGAAGCCCAAAGCAAAGCCATGAGAGCTTATGCTCAAAGTGGACAATATCATACCATTGTGGAGAGTCGTGTTCGTCTAACACCATGAACATGCACAACTAAGAGAGATCATAGTACCTGTAACATATCTTCGTCCTGTTCACCAAATAATGTAGTTGCTTTCTCGGGGTCTCGCAGTAACAGGCGTAATTTGACATTCCGGTCAAGCAAAGCTGCTGCCACCAACTGTCCTATAAAAGAAAGTGAAAACATCAAACCAAGCACATAAATCACCTAGCGGACAAAACAAATCCTCCAACATAGATCGTTGATTACAAGGCCATATCCCACCATGCAATAATTAGCAAGAATAAGAGCTAAAAACTTTACCAAAATCACCACAACCTTCCTCACTAAGAACTACAACCGATACACTCAACTTTAAAAGATTCATGACGAGATTAACATTAAATTAACTACCTAACACTACCTGATTCAGTTTAACTTAATCAATTCATCATGTACGTCCATATATATTCTACGGAAAAATGCAGAGGAGAATTCAGATAGAACATACCGACACCGCCGGAAGCGCCGACGACAAGGACGAGTTTAGAAGATGCAACAGGATCAGTTTTCGACTCGCGGATCGACTCTGAACTTGGAGATTGAACAACTTCCTGATTGATAGCACGAATGGCTGCAGATCGTCCTCTACAGCTTGAAATGCTCTTCCGGATTTGGTAATTGGAAAACGAACACAACGGGTGAAGGCCAAAGAGAGGGACTCTTTGAAACGTTTTGTGAAAATTTCCAAGTGGACGATGAAATTCCGGGATGAATGAGAGAGAGAGATTAGAAGCCATTGATGAGAAAAGAGAAAGCAAGCTGCAAGAGGAAGAGGAAGAGTGAAGAAGAAACTGATTACCTGAAAATTATACGATGACTATATGAAATTTACATAAACGCTAAAAATAGTGTAATTATTATTGAAATTAATAACCTAATTTGAATTCTAAATGGTAAAAGTAATATTCTAATTTAATCCTAATCATACAGATAAAAATAATATCTTAATTAGTTAACATGAAAAGGAAGGTAGCAGATACATTTTTAAAACTGTGAGACTGACGACGATGATACGTAACGGGCCAAATTGGACAATATCCGCTAGTGGTGGGCTTGAGCTGTTACAAATTATATAAGAGCCAGACATCGAGCAGTGTACTAACGAGGACACTGACTTCCAAAGGGAATGGATTGTGAGATCCCACATTAGTTGGTGAGGAGAAACGAAGCATTCCTAGGAAATAAGGGTGTGAAAACCTCTCTCTAGCATATGCATTTTAAAAATCGTAAGACTAACGACGATACGTAACAGGTCAAAACGGACAATATCGGCCAGCAGTGAGCTTGGATTATTACAGCAACAATTTTCACCCGAACAAAATACACTTTTAGTTTATCACTGTTTTAGAAGACTACTCTTCTTTGGAACACATTGTTAGTCCAATAAAACTCTATCATGAATCTTCACTGTGTCTATACTTTTGAGGCTGACCCAGTCTTTCGAAGCTCACAACAGAATGAAACGTGTCTAAATTAAACTACACAATAATAAATAAACAATATTGAATTAAGTACTCACAACTTATTTATTTAGAAAAAAAAAATTAAATGGTAGAATTTCTTAAGAAAGAAAGGAGGATTATTTGAGATAATATGTATGATTATTTTTTGATTAATTATTAATTAGTTTTCAAATCACTAATAATAATTATTTATAATTTTCCTTTTCTAGAGAGGAAAAAAAGCCTATAAACCACAATAAATATATTGGGCAGATATTTTAAAACTCATTTTGTGGTAAGATTTAGAGTTACTTTCTGTGGTCATGATCCTTCCACGTGGCTGGTTATATCCATTCCACCTCAGCTCCCCCATTTTTATGGTTTAAACTAATTACAACGTTTAGAACTATATGGAACAAATTTATAATGCAATAATTAAATAATAACCATAAGAACAGTAAGATATTTTAATTCTAATTTTGTATTAACGAAAAATCCAAAAGCTTAATCATAGCGGGCGAAGTATAATTTCCTTTAGAGAATGATTATAGGTTTATAATCAAAGAAAACAAAACCATGAAAGTTTATACTCAAAATGGACAATATCATACCATTGTGAAGAGTCGTGTTCCTCTAACATGGTATTAGAGTCATGCTTTAAACTTAGCCATGAAGAAAAAGGAGTTGAGGGGAGGAGGTGTTAGACGAATGTCTCACATTGGCTAATTTAGGGAATGGATTGGACAATATGAATCAAATTAAGTTAATAAATTTACGAGATAGTAATATACTAATAGATGAAGCTGGATTTAACAAAATATCTCGAGACTAAAGAAAGAGTTAAAATGTTAAAGCCCAATGTCAGCCTCAGATTTTGTTCCCCTTTCCAACTAATGTGGGATCTCATGATCTATTTCTTTAGGAGCGTTATACCATTTGTAACAGTTCAAGCCCACCACTAGCATATGGTTTGTTTTTGCCCATTACATATTGTCATCAACCTCACAGTTTTAAAACGAGGTGAAATATAGTATATAATCAGTAAGGGTGTTTATGGATTCGATAGAATTGAGTTAGAGACAAACTTTTTTTAACTCAAACAACACTTCTTATATAATGAACTCCAACCCAACCCAACCCAACCCAAACATAAATTATTTGGGTCGGGTGGTTGGAATCATGTATTTAAATCTTCATGATTCAACCCACATTGAATTGATCGGGATTTTCAAGTCATCGAAGAAGAACCGTACCTGAATTTAATATTTAAAAGATAAGGGACTAGATTGAAATTTTGAATGATTTTATTTTAAGTTTATAAAGAAGGGCCTACCATAATGAAGAAGTGGGGGATGAATGTGGTTTTGGAAGGTAGCTTAACCACCATGTCCTTTTGTCTTAATAGAGGGGAAGATAATACAAAATGTATGGTCATTTTCACTTCAAGACAAAACAAAACAAGACAATTTTGGGTTTTGGAAGCACATTGGTTCAACTCTTTCTTGCATTCTCTCCCCCACCACTTAGCCCCAACAATGGCTACCCTTTTGGACTTTTCTTTGTTTTGGGAATATTATAACCCCACCCCCTCCCCTATGGATTCCCTTTCCTCCCAACATCAAGACAAATCGCTTCTAAACTCGTTTCCTTTACCTACTCTTTTCAAATTCGAGAAGGAAACGTGTGTCAGTAAGGATGCTGAGCCTCGAAGGAGAACGAAACATTATTTATAAGAGTGTGGAAATCTCTTCCTAAAAGTCACGTTTTAAAAACTTTGAGGGGAAGCTTGAAAAAGAAAGCTCAAGAAAGATAATATTTGCTAGTGATGAGTTTGAACTGTTATACATGATATCAGAGCCAGACACCATGCGGTGTGCATGTTGGACCTCGAAAGAGGTGAATTGTGAGATCCCATATTGTTTGGAGACAGGAACGAATATCAACGTTTGTGAGATAACACATCGGTTGGAGAGGGGAACGAAACATTTTTGTTTATAAGAGTATGAAAATCTCTCTCTCGTAAACGTATTTTAAAAACCTTGAAGAAAAACACAAAAAAGACAATATTTAGTAACAGTGGACAAGCGGATTTGAGAAAAGATAGAAGATTTGAAATGATGTCGCTTGTGTCTATATCTAAGAGTGTAAAACTGGCACAACGTTAACGTTGAAGTTTTTCCCTGGTTTTGTGCAGGAAGAACAAAACAGGAGGCTAAGCTTCTCAGAAATTCCATATTCCCCACTTTAGAGTAAAGGACAAGAAATGAATGACGACAAAACGATCATACCACCACGCTTTGTCGACAACGTAGTCATCTCATGGAGGACTGAGAGAGAGAGAGAGAGAGAAACAGAAGCCTTTTCAAAGCAGCAGAGGAGCTTTAATTGAATTGAATCGAACCAGACTGATGATGAAAACAGAGGAAACCCACCCACACTCGCAACCCTTTTCTGGACTCTGAAAGATTCAAGTACCGACACTTCTCGATTTTGGATTTTTCTTCCAGATTTCATCTGGGTTTTCGGTTCTTTACAAAACCCAATAACCCTTTCTCGATTCATCCATCTCTTGTTCTTGTTCTTGTTCTTCCTGGTCGTTCTCTGCTCGGATGAACTGATTCTTGCTGCTTAACTAGTTTGTTTATTGTGATATTTCGATCGAAATCTTCTGTGTTTCCCTTTTGAGGTTTTGTTCTTGTCTCTCTTAATCATTCTCAGCAGCAAACCCTTTTTGTCTTTTGCCCTCTAATCTGTTCCATTTCTTGGATTGTACTATCTCCTATGAGTTCTTTGAGAAATGATCATGAAAACTGAGGATTTTGCTCTCTTTTGTGTGCAATATCCATAAGAACTTGCTGGTTTCTGTGAATTTGATCCTCTGTTTCACTGCATTGAGCAATGTTTCAAGATGAAGGCACATCCTCCATAACTTCTTCCCCTCTCCAGTTCTTCACAATGATGTCTCTTTCACCTAAACTGGGCTCTCCATATCCATGGCTTAGAGAGCTCAAATCTGAGGAGAGGGGCTTGTATTTGATCCATTTGTTGCTTACTTGTGCTAACCATGTGGCTGTTGGCAGCCTTGACAATGCTAATCTTGCTCTTGATCAGATATCCCATCTTGCTTCTGCTGATGGCGATACAATGCAGCGGATAGCAGCGTACTTCGCTGAGGCTCTCGCCGATCGAATCCTTAAAACTTGGCCTGGCCTTTATAAGGCCTTTAACTCCACAAAGATACCTGTGGTTTCAGAGGAGATTCTTGTTAAGAAGCTGTTTTTTGAGGTGTTTCCATTCCTCAAGGTGGCTATTGTGCTTACTAATCAGGCTATTGTTGAAGCCATGGAAGGGGAAAAGATGATTCATATCATTGATCTCAATGCAAATGAAACTGCTCAATGGCTTGCACTTTTGCAAGTTTTGAGTGTCAGGCCTGAAGGGCCTCCCCATTTGAGAATCACTGGGGTTCATCAACAGAAACAGGTTCTGGATCGAATGGCTCGTCGGCTAACCGAAGAAGCTGAAAAGTTTGATATCCCATTTCGATTCGATTCGGTTGTCTGCCGATTAGAGGATCTTGATATGGAAAAGCTTCGTGTGAAAACAGGGGAGGCTCTGGCTATCAGCTCAGTTCTTCAGTTGCATACCCTTTTGGCAGCTGATAATGAAGTCCGGCAAAAGTCATCTCCATTAGCAGGAAAGAGTGCCAATGGAGTTCATTACTCGAGATACCAGCACCCGAACCAAACTAACTTGAGTGAGTTACTCGAAAAGGATTCGATTAATGGGTGCAGTCCGAGTCCCGATTCGGTATCTTCATCAGCATTATCTCAAGCCAACGTGACGAAGATCGAAAGCTTCTTGAATGGATTGTGGAGTTTGACGCCGAAGGTGATGGTCGTAACCGAACAAGATTCTAACCATAATGGTGCAACACTTATGGAGAGATCACTAGAGGCTCTCCACACATATGCAGCAATCTTTGATTGCCTGGAATCTAATATGTCAAGAACATCCGTAGAGAGGTTGAAGTTGGAAAAGATGCTATTTGGGGAAGAAATAAAGAACATTATAGCTTGTGAGGGAGGTGAAAGGAAGGAACGACACGAGAAGCGTGAGAAATGGAGTCAACGGTTCGATCTCGCAGGGTTCAGGCATGTGCCTTTGAGTTATTATGGCATGCTGCAGGCAAGGAGCCTGCTGCAGGGGTATGGTTGTGATGGTTATAAGCTGAAGGAAGATAATGGTTGTGTTATGATTTGTTGGCAAGATAGTTCGTTGTTCTCGGTATCGGCTTGGAGGTGTTGTAAGTAGCAGTATTGTCTGGTAGGCTAAAGAATTCTTCATTCCGATTAGATCAGTGTCGGAGAACGATTGTGATGTCGTCCGGTCTTCATGTCTGATGAAACTGTATCAGCACATTTGTTTTAGTTTTCTCATTCTATGTGTTGCTGAAGAGTACTGACGTTTGGTCTCATCATGGTTCATTTTTTGTATCAGAGGGAATTCAATATTAACTTGTTCTAGTTTGTACACTGAAACCATATTCAATCTCTCTGTCACATACACCAAATCCTCTTCTTTCATGTTTAAAGCTTTTTTTCCCATCTGGTTTACCTTTGGTTTGGCTGAAAACAAATGCTACCATGGGTGTAACGGCCCAAGCTCACCGGTAGCGGATATTGTCCTCTTTGGGTTTTCCCTCAAGGTTTTTAAAACGTGTTTGCTAAAGAGAGATTTTCACGCCTTTATAAAAAATGTTTCGTTCTTGTCTCCAACCATTGTGAGATGTCACAATTCACCCCCTTCGAGTCCTTGCTGGCACTCACTTCTCTCTCTAATTGATGTGGGATCTCACCATCCACCCCTTTCAGAGCCAGCGTCCTCCCTAGCACATTACTCGGTTTAGATTGTGAAATCTCACATTAGTTGGAAATGGGAACGAAACATTCTTTACAAAGATGTGGAAATCTCTCACTAGTAGACGCGTTTTAAAAACCTTGAAGGAAAGTTCGAAAAAGAAAATCTAAAGAGGACAATATTTGTTAGCAGTAGACTTGGGCCGTTACAATGGATTAGCAATACAATGGGTATCAATGATTACCCTACATGGTTAACAAGACACATAATCCAATCCTTAACAGGACATTGTTTAAAAAGAATTGTGGCGAAGTAGGCATCAAGCCTTTATTGAAAATGTAAACAAAACCTGACTGTCAAAGAAACCGATCCTAAACTTTCAAAGAGGTGAATGGTAAGAACAATAGCAGTAACATGAACAGAGCCACAGCAAAATCTGAACAAACTATCAATCAGTATCCCAAAAACTGAAAAAAAGAATCACATTCAAATTTTATTGGAAGAAGTAGGAATTTCTATGGATTCACAATGGAGACCATTGTTACAGTCAGCCTCTCAGCCAGTAACTACGATCTTTCAATAAATCTATGCTACCTACGATGTCTGCAAATTCCCTTCAAATCCCGGATTGACTTCATGAAAAGTTTCCATCAGTATTTGTTCAATCAGGAACCAATTTCCCAGTTTCGATACACATTCGAAACCGAGCCTGCTATCTAAGAGATGGGTTAGTGCTAGACCAAGGGAGGGAGATTGCTATCTATATCTTGGCTAGCCTAATACAATGGATATTCATGTGGTTAGTTTATAACTACAATCATACTATCATCACTACCTAATAAATGAATAAGCCACTCCGATGCCACCATAGATGTAAGTTCAAACATGTATGCAAAACAACCAAGCCAAAAGTTAAGACCTTGCGGAATCTGGCTGAGGAAGTTGGTCATTCAGGTCTTGATCTTCAATGAAAGTAGATTGGCCCTTTTTAATGCAGTAGTTCTAAACCTGCGTTTATATAACAAGACATCAAGAGAATTCAGCACCATTTTGTATACATCATAAACAGTGATAACTTATAAAGTAGATAAGAAAAAGGTCCAAGCTGATATCTCATTATTGTTTATCAAAAATTGAATAGGGAACAAGATCTTCTGAAGACAGACAAAAAATGCACGTTAAGATATCGGTCCCTGTATGGGCGAATGCAATTTAAATTCATGTTCAGAGCACACAAGAAAAAAGAAAAAGCAATTCAGAATGTCGAGGATGTCAGTGCCATGTTCGAATAGATAGTATTTTACAAAGAACGGGTCCTGCAATGAAGGTTGAAAGAGTAAGAGATTATAACCACAGATGGCAGAAAACTAAGAATCTTTTCCATCAATTCATTTTTCTCTATGAAGGGGAAGAGAGAGACCTGTAAATTTAGGAACAGAAATATGTACAGAAGAAACCGTGCAAAAACATTAACCCTCAGCAAACAGATGAAATTATGAAAACATATATATCTACTTTATACCGTTAATCACATATGGGACGGGTAGCACTTAACCACAGCTCTGACACATCTCTCCTAAGATTTCAGTATGCAACACCGCAATGACCATCAGCCTCATCTTTCTGAATGGCACCTTCCAGCTGGGTACTAGGTGCAGCTTCTCACCTCTCTCATTTTTTACAATGGAATCTAATTCCTCTCTTTATTATCAAGGAAGATAACTTATCTTACTGTTGCAACTTTAAATACACATTCTCTATCACATCAATAGATTACCAATGATGCAGAGTAACAGGAAGCATCCTCTATTTTGAAAGAAAATGAATCACATCTTCGGTTTACAAGTATTGATCATCAGGTTCCAAGAAGTCAGACAAATTTATATTATATTTTCAAATAAACAAAAATTCACTATAAATCTAGTTTACAGAGTGTAGAAGTCCTGAATTTTTCCAAGAAAGAGCTAGCTTTCATTCCAAAAGGAAAAAGAAATGAAAGAATACAAAATGGCAACATAACAATACAAGTAAAAAACTAAAAATCTCACTAAGAGTCCTACTGAGAAAAAATAAAAACAAGCATGAGTGCTAACGTAAAATGAAAACAAAGATATTACTTTACATGCTTAGTAATATTGGTTCAAAGTGATACAATGAAACATACTCTAATCTGTGTACTATGACGCTCCATCAAAATTCCGAAAAACTTTAATAGATCATATATGTCTTTCAGATTCATGAGAGATCCCCTCCAAGTAGAGGGATGTGAAAGAAACAGCCACCAAGCATTCAATGCAGACAGGTTTGTATTTTTGGGACATCCTCTCAAGTTAAGCATGCTTATATATATATATATATATATAAACTCAGATGCAAATAATGGAAGTAAGAATGCCTTCTGAGTAACTAATACATATCTGAGGCTGTCATATAATAAGTGGTTATCAAAGTGACTAAAAAGACGAAATAGAAAAAGGCTAAGAATGTAATACACCTACATATAAAGCATTGGCCACGTGGGAGCATAGAAGCAGAAAAGATAAAATCTATATGAGAGTTTAAGAGTAAAAAATTCATTCTTTTCTAAATATCTAGTATGGCTCATTTTGTGGGGCTGCAGCCCCTTGTAATCTTTCAATTTTTCCTAGATGAAAGGGGAACTTTTCAAAAAAAAAAAAAAAAAAATTCAAGATAAGAAAAAAATCCTAGGCAGCAACAAAAAGGAAAATTAATAGGGGCAGTCAAAATGAGTTTTTAGCTAAGTGAGGTTATATTCAGGGAAGTATAGTTTCCTCATCTTAATGTTGTATAAGAACTCAAGTCTGTCAAAAGAAATAGGATAAAATGGAAGGGAACAGAAAGGTCTATTACCGAAGGTGGGAGAACAAAAGTTTGATAGATAGATTTAGAATCCCTGAAAGTTTGCAGCCTTTGCCTAGGGGAGGAAGAGACCCTGGACCACATCCCTCGCTGTAATTTTGTAAATAAGCGCTACGACTTGCTCCTTAATATCTCTGTCCTATCAATATCTATCTCTAACAAATGGAAGCTTAAAGGTCAGGCTAAGATTTTGGGTGGCTAAGGGCCCTTTAGTGGGGTTTCGGGTTCAAAAAACATCACAGATTATGAAAAAAGATGAGTTCTTTAATCACAATATTTTTTGTAGCAATGTAAAAATTACTGCTCCCTGGTGGTGTCATAGCAAAAAAAAAAAAAAAAAGACAAGATAGATTACAACAATACGGCAGAAGAAAGTAAACAGGACAGGCTAAAAACTACCGGTCATTGAATCATGAGAATCAACTAATCTCAAATTTCAATATAGTTTCAGTAAATACACTATAGCTAGAGAATAATTTCTCGGAATGTAGTTAACTTCCTTGTCATTTGCTTTCGCTGTTTTTCTTTTCTTCCCATTAGAAACACAGTTATCCCTCTCCTACAATATTTGAGATATCACATTTATACATGGGAGGGCATGGGTTCCTCTGAACAATTAACCACAGTACTATTTTGTACCTCAGTACTATTTTGTACCTCAGGAACCTCCAAAATATCAGACTTCTGATTCGTTTGATGCGGACAGACAGGAGGCATCCTTTTCCGACACGTATGACACCTAAATCCAATCAATTTATCTATTTTCGTCTGATCAAGTCCAAACGCATCGCCATGAAACCACGCTGCATGGCACCCAAAGGGGAGAAAACATATTAGTTCAAACATTCACACTACTTGCGCGTAAGCCAAGAGAAATCACGTCCAAAGATTAGAAGTTCCAATATGAGAGAAAAACAGAAGCCAATTACCTCCACAAATGTCACACGCAATATAATTCAAACCAGAAGCATATTCTGTTTCAGAACAAAGATTGCATTTTGGTTTTTCAAGGTCCATGGAAATACTCTGAGATAGAGCAAGAAGCTTTTTCTCCCTAAAGTGCGACACTCGTTCGTCACCGGGCTTTGTAGAAAGGAAGAGGCCATTAAGCCAGAAGCTGTGACTGGCCAGAGTTCTCTTCTTCTGCAAAGAAGTCTCTCTCTTGCGTTTATTTGGTGTTCCCTTCCTGGACTTAATCTTTTTCCTTTTGACACTTCCACCAATCTTCTTTTTATTTTGCTTTTTCTTCTGAAGTGATTGCTTTTTCTTCTGAAGTGATGAGAATGTAGCTTGTCTTTCTGAACGACGTAGAGGGATACCTGTCGGAACTTTGGACTTGCTTTTGGTCTGTACTTGTTTTCCAGCTCTCAATAATTTTTTTCTGTTTTTCAATCGTAATGCACGTTGATCACTCGAAACTTTTTTATGTCTTTCCATGTGCAACTTCCCTCCTTTTACACCACTTTTCCCTCTTTTTCCACTAGTCTTCACAGACATACCATCCCAACAACTGTGGCAAGTATATGTACATTGAGCAGCAACGGATTCCACATACTTCTTCACATGCTTTTTGTGAAAAATTCCTGAAAGCAGTATAAGAATAAGTAGGAACCAAACAACAGTGTTCAGTCTTATTCAAGTAACCATTACATGTATACATAGAATTAGAACACGTAAAAAACAAAGGACCTGCCGGAAGCACTATCTACATGGGATGAGAAATATAGAACAGTACCATAATGACCTAATTTCAGTTCCATGGGAGATCTGAAGTGCAAGTTATTAATTTTTTTCGAAAAGACGGAGAGAGACAAAAGGAAAACCTAATCCTTACTTGAAAAGCTAAATGTATAGAAGAATAGAAGGTAAAAACTACAGGTAATGTATCACAATCCTTATCTGAAAATTTGATATTAATATCTCAATAACTTGTGGTTCCCAAAGCAGAAAAACAAAAAGGTCACGAAAAGAATGCCGCGAAATTACCTTGACAATATCGACAACTAACAGCATCCCTACAACGTAAAGAAAAGAGAATCAATAAAGTGAAAATATATATATACACAAAAAATAATTCAACAAAGTTTCAGACCACATGTCATTGAGTAATGATATTAGTGAGACATCAAAAGCCTTTTCTATATCTACAACATAATTGTAATCATTCATCATCTTTTACATTCATTCAAAAGCCTACTGTAGAATAAACCTTGAAATCAATCTAGCAGCCAAACTGCATCATGATGTGATAAGGCTTGAACATCATAACCTTATCAAACATAGAATAAAATGAAGCAATAGAGATGTTAATAATTTTTGAACTGAAAGTAACTAAAAAACAAAAGTAAAACACTATAAAGAATATATAAAGGCATTCCAATTTAGGCAAATATCTGATATAAAAAATCACATTAAAAACTTGGACAAAGAACACCAAGATGAGGCCTTCAGATGGGATGCTTCAAAACGATTAATCCAAAGAAGATTCTTTCTCTGAAAAATTCTTTGATTCCGTTTCATGGGTCGGAATTTTATTTAGACCAACCTAAAATTTCGAACTGGTTGGGTTGGTGCCCTAAACAGAACCTCACAACCAAACCCAACCCAACCCAACCCAACAGTCTATTTTCGGGCTTGGTCATCAGATTTTTCATGGTTTTAAATTATTTTAAAAAATCCTACATATTCATGATACATGTCACATTAATAACTAAAATCTCATCAAACTCAAATATCAAATATTCACAAGACACAATACATCACTAACATCTATTATAAACATCAAATATTCTTAATTTTCATAACAATCTTAAAAGTAGAGTAGGGTTGAGTTAGTTTGGGTTGTGAACCTTATTTTTTTGTTGGTTGGATTGACCCAACCAAAAAGGTTACAACTTGCTAATCGAACCAAATTTTCAGTTTACCAATCCCAACCCAAACCGGAAAAAGAAATATGTCCCAACCCAACCCTTATGGTTTAAGCTACGTGGTCTAAATTGTTCGGGTGAGTTTTCATCTTTAAAAAAAAAAAAAGGTCGTGGGGAGACATGGAATTGTGCTGCTTTTGATGGTTCTTCTCACATTCCCTTTCAAATTAATATTGTAATTATTCAATTTCATATATAGCGGCAATTGGATTTCTTATTGTAGTCCTACTGCCGAAAGTTTCTGGATAGATGTTTTTCCTCTTATCACCTCTTTTATAATTTTATTTTAGAAAAAAAGAAATAAATGAAAAGATCACTCCTCGAAACTGCAAATTGTTTGATGAGAGACCAAACTTTCAAATCTAAAATCAGATGACAAGATTGACAATTTGTTCTATGCTCACAATGGAACAATTTTTAGCAATAAGAACATAGATCTAAACAATAACAGTAATAGATGCATAAACAAGTCCCAAGATTCCAGAGTGAGGAAACTAGATAAGCGATTAAATTTAAAATTCGAGCTATGATCAGTAAGAATGCAATAATGATTGTCAAATACCTGACAGGAACAACTTTGTTACAGCGGCCACATTGATACAACTCAGGTTTATCTGCTCTTGCAAACAAATATGCAAATCCCTTCTTCCTGGAAGACTTCACTGTACTGAATTCCACGTTCTTGGGCTTAACCTCATTTGTTTTGCGAGCAATTCTTTTCTCCTCGAAATTCTTCACCAGATGCAGAGGAACATAAATCCCATTTAGCCAATATCTCTTTTTATCGTTACTAGAATCCTCCAGCATTATCCCATGTTTCTTAACAATGTCAGGAATCACTCTTCTCTTTCCAAAGTCAAGGAGATATTTTGTCATGTCTCCTTCAACGGACTTACGGCGCACAATTACCTTCTTGAAAAGCCTGATTGATTTTCTTAATTCCTTTTCTAAAGTAGGGAGAGGATGGGTATTTTCAATGTCATCCCACAGAATGTTTGAATAAAATTCTCTAACCTGAAAGCAATTGAAGAACAAACATGTCACCAAAACTTGAAGAAAAAAAACATACTAATAAAACAATCTATCACGAATGCAGGTCAAATTCTTAACCAATAGATTAGTTCTTTTTTAAGAATTTTTTTTCGTTAGCTAAAATTTACTGGATGACAAGAAACTGACATATTTTACGGCAGTTAAAATGATCGTTAAACAACAGGGAGGGGGGAAACGGTAATAGCATGATAGAGGAAATAATATCATATAGGCAAAGATGCAAACTATAAACCTGGAATGCAAGCTGCTCCACACTTGTTGATGCCTCTACAGCAGCTCGCCAGGCAATGCACTTGCTTCTTCTCGCACATTCTGAACCCTCAGGATATGCAATTCCTGGTATCTTTGTACATCCAGCTGCAGAATTTTAAACTTCAAAACAATTCAGAATGGCTATTCAGTTGACTTCATGGCAAATGATGTCAACTCAGCTTCAAAAAAATATTAACATATTACAAACCTTGTCGTGCAGCCTTGGAAACTAAGGAACGAGGCAAACCTTTCCAGTTAAACATGCGACGAGAAAGCTGGCCACCCCTCCACCAAAACATACTTAATCCACTAGAACCACACGAAGAGGCGTTTGACTCGATATCTGAAAACCTAGCTCTTTTTCTACTTATTCCATGTCTATTAGTACGTACTGAACTGGTAATGAAAAGGGAAGCCGAACCCAAGGTGTTAACAGAGTCGACATACTTAAACCACTCAGTTGATAGAGCAGGCTGGCATAAATTTGATTCTATCTGTAAAGGTTTTGTAAGAAGAAAAATTAGCCTTCATAAAGAACCAAGAACGGAGGCAGGTAAGATCAATTCAAACTGTGAGGACCATGAGTACTTCTCAAATTGCAACATTTACAACGCACAATTGAATGGAAGTTGAGACCAAAGATAGTTGTAACATAAAATGATAAATAATATTAGTTCAGTTATTCCTTTTCTTTCTCAATGTTGAAGAGCATTTTGGATGATCTCCCCATCGTCCTTTTTCTGTTTTTTTCATTTTTATCATTAAGTTCGTAAAACTATTTTATAAATTTATGAATAAAAAAAGTTAATAAACATATTTAAAAAGTAATTAAAAAGTTGGAGATGATGATGAGGATAAGGACAGGGATATCTGGGGGTCGGAATCGCAACGGTTCTAGGACAGATTGGATGAATCTGGCAACCTTAGTCAGGAATGGACAGAAGTGTTGATTGATTCAACATAGCTAAAAATGTAGAAGTGATGGTCGGTGAAAAAAGACGACAAGGGGTAGTCTTGTCTTTTTCTACCTCCCTTTATTCATCTTCTCCTTTTCCAAAACCACTCCTTAAGGTCGAATTGATGTCCTATTTCCGCTAGGGACAGGAAAAGGTAGGGCCCTTTTGCTTCAGAAAAGATCATGAAAGTGATTTTTAGTTTTTTGTGTAAAACACTTGATCACTATGGTTTCATTATGACATTCTTTTAGGAAAATTAGATTTTATTGAGGAGAGCCTGGTTAACATCTTAATTAATATTCGTTAAGGTTCTACTAACTAACTAAAAGTTGTAATTTCTAGTTCCTGAGTTTATTAGGAGAATGCATCATCCACTTCTTGTCACCTGTACTCATCTATATAAATACAGTTTCCTAAGAAAATATCATGTAGGAAGCATTATAATAAGCCAAATTTGAAGTAGAAGATAATAATAATCAATTACCATTAATAATAGAGGCTTGATGGAGTTAAGGTCAAGTGCCACGAGACCTTCACGCCAAAGCTTAGAATAATGAGAATCCAGCCATGGACCTACAAGTAACCCTCGCAAACGATTCTCAATCGAGATAATTTGACATACAACATCTCTGAGGTGGCCTTTTCCCTTCATTTTAAGTTGAAGATCAGGAACATGAACTGCCAAACCCTCCTCAATCTGGCTAATGTTCGTCTTAAACAAGCAGTCCGCCTCATCACTCGAAGATTTGCAAGGAAAGCACCATCCACATTTCTCTTTCTGCGTAGCTACGTTAAAATTTTGAATGAACGGCCAATAAAAGTTGCTTGTTTTCTTCAAAATTACCTTCATCTGCCCTGCAATTATTTCTTCTTCTGACATAGTAGACTTTTCTTTAATTTTGTCAGATGATTTACGCAAGAACTCATCAGCCACCGAAGAAGCTGTTTGTGCAAAACTATAGAAGTTAGAGTAACCATCATTTTTAACTCCAAGGAAATCCTCTTTTCCATCTAGGCAAGGACGTATCGAAGACAGATTTCCTCCAGAAGAGAACTTCCCTGGTACTTTAGCCTGACTTATGAATTCATAACCGTTCTGAATGCTGGAGTTCATCTTACTGTCTAGAGCTGGTTCTTCAGTATTCATAGTTGAACCTTCCAGTATAGCCTCCACTTCAACCAAGTTTACCGACTTTGCACCTTCATGGAAAGAATTGCTATGATATCCAATCGTACAATCTAGAGAACCCATTTTACTCATTTTTCCATTTGAAGTAAAAGGAATCTTCCAGTGCTTGTAAATAGCCATTAGTAGGTCACTGTACGATGAATCTGATGACCTAAGAGCTTCAATAACAACATCCAGATCATTCGTGTGGTAGTAACTGACAGAGGACTCCGTGTCACATGAATCAAACCTGCAAATATTTTCAATAAAAACAAAAATATTTAAATGGATAATGAGAAATTAGATATAACCTAATATAAATAAAAGAATAACAAACTCTTGGCCGCGTTTTTTTCTATCAGACGCCTAGCATTTTGCAAGGATACTTAATCCACCTCGCAAAAGGGTCGGAAAAAACTTTTAAAAGAAAATCAACAAGAGGTTCCAAAAGCTCCAAAAGGAAATGTGCCCCAGTTCATTCACTTAGATATTAGCTGGCATGAACAAAAAGGGCCTTTATCCACCATCTCTTTTCCATGGAGTTTCTCCATTATTATGCATGGAAGAATTTTGCAAGTAAGGACGTCCTTTGCAAAAAAGGAGGATGGGGAACTCAATGTGGTGACATGCTACCCTACCTAACGCGGCAAATCACTGAAGGTGCAATGGTCGAAAGAAGAAATTGAAGTAACAAACGTATGCGACTTTGGAAAACTAGGAAATAAAAAGTTTAAGAAGCATGCCGCATCGATATCTCATATTTTAAAATTTTCAAAAGTAAGAACGCAAAAATAATACCATTGCAGAGGAAAAAATTATCAAACTTACACCAACAGGTAGCCACAGCTACTAAAGTACGTACGTCCATGAGGATCCATTCCTAAGAAATCAGCTCCCCGAAGTGATTTTGGCGTTTTCATCCAGGGCTTTTGCCTGTCAATAGCACACTCAGGGCAAAACCAGTCACCCTCTGGCAAGAGATCATTGGCTATTCCTACACACTTCAAATGATATGCAGCAGGACAGCCATCACAGCATATTAAGCTACCATCCATTTTGCACAGACAGCATTCATCACTATTCCAGTCTGTGGTGTCATCCATACCATCCTCCGACAGACAAGAATTAATGGAGGCATTTGCTGAAATCTTCTTCTTTTTGTATACCTCCAACCTCACACTTCTATCACGAATAATTTCTGGCTCAGCTGCCAAAGACCTTCTGTTAATCTCTGACCTAATGGCTTCCGCTTCAATCATATCATCACATAGACAGCGAAGAATTTCGATCTTAATTCTCGTAGGGTGTTTGTAGCAATCATTTTTTAATAAATTCAGGTGACATAGATCAACGCCAGGTTTCAAACCTGAACCATGAATCAACAGATACTCAACCATAAAAATAGGCCACGTAATCAAGTCTAGCATATCCCAGTTAAGACTCCTGATCAAAATTTCAAAACAGAAAATATAACACATAATTATATATGCATTTAAGTAAATATATAATCAAATAAAACATAATACAAGGATATTAACTATAATTGAATTAGCAAATAAAAAGTAATAGGAGGAACAATTTCTACCTTAAACAACTGGAAGCAGATTCCGAACCTTCAGCAGAGAGATACTTCAAATGCTTTCTTAGAGTTTTCAGAACAGAGAGATGTATATTATCAAATAATATAGTAGGAGATTTGCAGTTTAGGGCTGCCACAAAATCATCCAACTCAAATGGGCTAAGAAACAACAGAGTACTAAATGATCTCAAACAGGAATAAATAGAGAACAAGTCAAGGATAGGAATATCGTCAAGATTCAAGTTTTTCGAAGAGGGTGGTAATTGCAACTTAAGAGGAAAGGCAACAGGCATGTCGGATTCTTTACAATCATAAGCTACCTGTTTTTCCTCGGTTACCACACTAGCTACAGGGGAAGATATATCAGATGATGCAATTGGGACGGTTTTCTGTACGGATCCTCTACGTGTACTTCTCCTCAAAACTGTATCTGGTGTATTTACGCAGTCCAAAACCTTCCGTTTCTTTCTTCTGCTGCCATGCTGTTTGCATTGATCTTCAGAATTTCCTTGGAAACCATCAGTTGCTTGAGGACCAGCATCAGAGCACACATCCTTCACTTCAATGTTGACCATGTTACCATCGTTAATAACAGCCACATCTCCACCAGAACTATAGCTGTCTTTTGGCAATTCTTCCTTTATATCGACATGAACTTCTTGCAAATTGCCACTTTCATGCTCAGATTCCATAATTTTGTCTGGAAGTCCTTCGACGTTATCATAAACTTTGTCTATTACTGCTTCATCACAAACTTTTTCTACTACTACTTCATCACAAACTTGGTGTATTTCTTCTTCATCACAAACTTGGTCCATTACTGCTTCCTCACAAACTTCGTCTATTACTCCTTCTGTCGTCCCAGAAGAAGCAGCTTCTTCTCCACCGTTATTATTAGTATCCCCGTGTTCATCATTAACCTGTAAGTTCAAGTCAAAATCCCATTCCTTTTTCTTTATTTCCACCGGCGAACAACTTACAGCTCCCCCAGTAAGATTCTCATCAAAGTCAGCATTAACATACAGATTCAAATCAATGGAGCCCCTTCTCTCTAAGTTAGAATCTTTACTAGTACGGGCATGAACACCACTGCCATCGATTAAATTGAACCACTCATTTGAGCTAGAACTCGCATTCAAATCTAACCCGTCTCTGAAATCTTCATTTCTACAAAGACTCCCATTGCCCGACCTATTTCCTACAAAACCCTTCTCAGATTCGCTTCTCCTTTCCAAAATATCTTCAAACCCATCACCGAGATCAACATTCATATCCAAATTCTCATTTCCCTCGAGACTTCCATTCAAATTCCCACCAACCCCATCAGCTATTTGTACGTTTTTTTCAACTTCATCGTTCAAATTCAAATTCTCATTTAAATCCTTAACACAAACAACACTTACCTCGAAGGCCATTTCTAGGGTTTCATCTGAATTCCCTTTATCAGGCACCGAATTCCTCCCAGCATTTGCCGATGCATCGCCAATTTCACATGTGCTCTCAATTCTTCGACGTTTCTTGGGCTTCCGGCCACGGCAGGGCATGTTTTCCACCGGTTGAGACTGACCCTCCAAGAGCAAAGAGACCTCCGACAAAGCCAATTCCTCCGAATCACCACCTTCGAACTCCACCTCGAAGAACCTAGAAGAGCTATTGAAGGATTTAACAACACCCAAATGAATTCCACGGCCTTTGAACTCTTTCTTCACAGCTCTGCCCACGAACTCCATCAAGGGTGTAAAAGAACACCCAATTAAGAGCCGGAACTGTGATCTACAGCAAACACCCAATTCCAAACCAAGGCTAATTAATTCTCACTGCTCCCGTTTCTCAAGTATTGTAGAAAATCGGCTTCTGGGTCTATGAGAAAGAGGGGAGAAAAGAACTCTCGTCGCTGAAAATGCTCAAGACATGCAAGACAGAAACGGGGTTTGTGTCAGTTGAACTAACAAGTCTTATGAAGCGATGCGGGGATCGTGCCCTCAACAAGTGCTGGGCGAAAGAAAGTAAGAGAAGAGTAACGTGAAGTGACACAAAAATCAAAATAAAAATTATACTCTTCGATTCCAACAACTTTGCAATTGGACCGAAGAGGGGAATAAAGCAACCAACCAATCTACACCAGCGAAGGTGGGTCAGATCCGGGGGCGTGGGCGGTCAAGATTTGGCTGTGGCAATGGGAAACCACTCTTATTTACTCGGGCTGTTTAGTTTGTGGCTGCGGCGTTTAGCGTGCTTTTCTTAAAACGGGATGGTTGGGGTGTTCGTGACGCATAAGATTTTCTTGTGGATTCATAGATTTGTCATGTTTTTTAAGAAATTTTCGCGGGTTTAAGGTATTTCTTGAACTATTCCTAAAATTGCTATCAGATCTAATAGAGATGATTTTGGTCTTAGAGTTTAGACTCTCACTAGCTTCGTGAATTTCTCAACTTTCATGAAAAGATTTCAATGATTTAAGATTGTTCTTATATTATTGGTAGGATTATTGTTTGACCCATACGAAAGACTTTGTTCTTCCTAAGTTGAAAGATTATCGTTTGTATTCATGGTTTTGTTACCTTTTTTAAAAAAATATCAAGGTTCTAAGACGGTCCTTAGATTATCTCTAAGATTGTCATCTAAACTCGTAAGATGATGATTTTCGATCTGTGCAAGATTCTCCCTAGATTTGTGATTTTGTTAGTTTTTTCGAGCAAATATAATTCAAAGTGGTTTTTGAATTATTCTCATAATTGCTATAAAATCTCAAAGGGACAATTTTGTTATAAATTTAATTATCATTGGATCAACTCTTTCTCCTTCGGGTCTTCATAGGAACAATCTTCATAGGAACCATTGTTCCTCTATTATAACCGTAATTATCAAAAGATACCTTGATTGATTGAAAGATGGTCATAAATTCGTCTTAGATGTTGAGAAACTCTTTATCGAGCATTTATGATGGTTGACCATAACTTGAATCTTTTAACTTTTCGTTCGTTCATAAATTCCAACAAATTAGTCATCGTATTGTAATTGGTCTCCGCCTCTTAGGCAACTAGAACTTAATATTTTTAACATTTTGTTCATTCATAAATTCCAACAAATCATGGTGTCGTGGTTGGCCTCGACCTCCTATTCTGACCCTAATCAACCTCGTCCTTAGTTAATTTGCTAAAAATAGGTGTAACCATATTCATTCATACATAAGTGGTATAAGAGCCGAGTCGACTCAAAAATAGTACACAAACATGTCCACTACAAAACAAGTTTCAAAATGACGGATTTGACTGAAATCGAAGAGCAATTACTCATATCTACATGAGTGAACCTAAATTTTTTTACCAGTTTGTTCATTCATAGATTCCAACAAATTAGACGTGGTGTTGTGGTTGGCCTCGACCCTCGTAGGCTCTAGTCCATATCGACGAGATGAGGCATAATTTAAGTACTCGAAAAGAAAAGGTACATACAAGAAGCAGTATTCTTTTAACCTCATTATCTCATTCCTTGGTTTCAATCATCCATCATCTAAAGTTCCATCCCTGTCAAGATCTGCACAATCCCATATCATAACTCTTTGCTGGGAAGATATGGAAAGAAAATTGTCATTTCACGACAAAATAAATGATTCTAACACTCGAGCAATTTAAGATAGATATTATGATACACGAATCCATCAACATAACTCGACAAGTACAATTAAACCGGTATCTATAGCGATTGGCTAGCCTAATATGCATTTTTTGTGTAGCCAATTGTTACGTAGTGATCTATCTACCTAATCTACAAAAAGAAAACAGAAGAAGGATTGAGGGGATAAATAGAAAATGTTTAATACTAAAACAAATCCGATTACACTGTTAGATTGAGTCCATAGATCGACGTAGGCTGCTGTAGACTGCTTTCCTGAAAAGAGGGTGTGCATCTTCTGATAACAAGACTTCTGCATCCAACTTCTCGATGTGTGGCCATATCTGTGAATATCAAGACAAATAGTTCGAGTAAATATTAGCGTTTGGGTCATGTTGTTCTGATAGTTTTCGATATAGACCATAATTGTTTTCGTATCATTATTAGTTCTTATGATTGGTAGTCCTCGAAGTATGGCTCTCTAAGAAACGGAAAGTACCTCGGAAGCGTATTGTCTGGAGAAGGCCTTGACGTATCCTAAGGTTGTTAAACACCATTGTTCATTTTCACCTACAGTGTAGGCATGCTCTGTCCCACCGTTCACTTGACTGCAAAAAAGAAAATAGTAAACTTGTAACGACCCAGGTCCACTGCTAGCAAATCAAGGCTTTAAAACACGTATGCCTAGGGGAAGGTTTCTACACCCTTATGAAGGGTGTTTTGTGCTCCTCCCCAACCAACGTGGGACATCACAATCCACCCCCCTTCGGGACCCAGCGTCCTCGCTGGCACTCTTTCCTTTCTCCAATTGATGAGGGACCGACCAAATCCACCCCCTTTGGGGCCCAACATTCTTACTGGCACACCGCCTCGTGTCTACCCCCTTCGAGGAACAGCGAGAAGGCTGGCACATCGTTCGGTGTCTGGCTCTGATACCATTTGTAACGACCCAGGTCCACCGCTAGCAGATATTGTCCTCTTTGGGCTTTCCCTTTCGGGTTCCCCTCAAGGCTTTGAAACGTGTGTGCTAGGGGAAGGTTTCCACACCCTTATGATGGGTGTTTTGTTCTCCTCTCCAACCAATGTGGGACATCAGAAAACTAATAATGGAAGAAAATGAGAACAATCATGGATTGAAAATTTGGCAAAAATATAATGGATCATCATCTTCTTGACAAGAGAACCTTTTTTCAGGTCTTGAATCTTCATTGTCCATATCCATGGCTGCTGGTTCTTCTTCGAGGTCCATAGCATTCGTATCAGTTGGATTAATAGACTTCAAATCCTGCAACGTTTGTACGCTAGATGCCACTGGAAGGCGTTCGGTCAATATACTGGAGAAGCTTTTGTATAAGGATAGATATAATGTCTGCACATGGAAAGAGATAAGGAGCTAAGTTGCTAACTCTCAATGTCACGTTATTTCTAGACTTAGAATCCATACCTCGTTCTCCTCGAGCGCTCGGGCAAGAAGAGCTTCTTTGGCTTCCAACGAGTCTCGTATCGATTCTTCCTGCTCTTTTGCTTTTTCAGCATAGGATTTCAATCGCTTCACTCTTACAGGATTCTCTCCCATAACAGGTTCACCATCGACAAGTGCGAGCTTCGATTCAGCAGCATTCAACTCGTCTTGTGTCTTCGCTACAGCTTCTTCAGCTGCAACAATATCTTTCTTCAGGGAGGATATTTCTTTCCTAAGATCGGAAATACGATTATACGTCTTGCATAACGCATTCCTTAATATCTGTGGATGAGGTAATAAGAAAAAATTTTAGTTAAAACTTATTTCCATGAGTTACCATCACTTAATCCAGAAAGCTTGAAGAAAACACACAAATTAAATCATGTTGAAATCGAACGACGAATAATAACGAGTATCTGTGGCAAAGTAGCGAAAAGGAAACGGAACCGTGTACCTCCCATGGACGATCTGACGTATGATACTGCTCGATGTTTTCTGGAGAAAAGATCCATCTGATAATGGCCAAATTGGATATTAACCTGTAACCCATCATTCTATCAATTGCTATTGCCGTCATTTGAGTATTGTTCTTCCAGTAAGAACTCACTTCAGATATAAGCAAGACCTGCTTATCCTGATCAGGGCATATTCTTGAAATCACTTGACCATATCTCTCCAAAACTGTTATCAAATGAGTGAAACTCTTTGACCCAATATCTAGAAGAGTTTGGACGATCACCACGAGTGAAACATCAAAACCATGCTTAGGAATTACAGTTTCATTGAGCCATGAAATTACTTCCCGTGCTGCAGCCCGTCCTTTCACCATATTGTATAATTCAGCAGAAAGTGCGTGTTGTTCATTTTTTTCTCCGTCGTCTTCTGTAGAAAATTTGAAATTTGGTCCGCCCTTGGGAGGTAGCAACTCTTCTAAACCGGGTGCATTCTCGACGCTCTACATAGTCAATGTAGTTGACATGTCAGAGAACAAAGTGCAAAATCAGGAAGGATAAGCTCATATTATTCCATGTTCTGATTTATCAGGCATACACAAATATTGAAAGATGAAACATCCCACAGTACCATAGCCACCGTCCCGCAGATCCTTTGTAACTCATTGTTCGACCGATAAATTATACATTCTGTATTTTCTATGAAGGACCGTTTTTGTAACGGCCCAAGTCCACCGTTAGCAAATATTGTTCTCTTTGGGCTTTCCCTTTCGGGCTTCCCCTCAAGGCTTTAAAATGCGTCTGCTAGGGGAAGATTTCCACACCCTTATAAAGGGTGTTTCGTCCTCCTCCCCAACCAATGTGGGATATCACAATCTACCCCCCTTCAGGGCCCAGCGTCCTCGCTGGCACTCGTTCCTTTCTCCAATCGATGTGGGACCGTCACCAAATCCACCCTCCCTTCGGGGCCCAACGTCCTTATTGGCACACCACCTCGTCTCTACCCCCCTTCGGGGAACAACCTCCTCGCTAGCACATAGTCCGGTGTCTGGCTCTGATACCATTTGTAACAGCCCAAGTCCACCGCTAGCAGATATTGTCCTCTTTGGGCTTTCCCTTTCGGGCTTCCTCTCAAGGCTTTAAAACACGTCTGCTAGGGGAAGGTTTCCACACCCTTATAAAGGGTGCTTCGTTTTCCTACCTACCAATGTGGGATATTACAGTTTTGTTTTATAAACATGCCGAGTAGGAGACAAAAATGTATACAGTTCCAAGAATGCCAAATACCTGCTTAATTTTATCCCAGTATGATAGACGAACTTCTCTATCCAGAACCTCCTTGACAAACACTCGCTGTGGAGCCCATTTTGGAAGTTCTAAAACATAAGCCCATTCTTCCCATGGCCATATAAATTGAAAGTTTGATCTGCATAAATAGTGACAGAAATAATGTTAATACCCAGGAAATCTAACCTTAAAAGGAGAGCATGATTTTTTTGAAGTATGTGCAAGTAGCCACAAATAGTACATCTTGAACACAATAACAGCACACATTTGTTATTGTAAATTCCTTCAGAAAATTTGCATAAATAAATGAATCCCTGAATCTTAA